TGAAGATCTTATGTCCATGTAAGTTCCGATAATTAGTTCAATGAACTCGTGTTTGTGATCATGCAGCTCAAATGAAGAATATTCATAAAATCTGTCTTTGTCGATATTCAGCATGATATGTGTCAATGTTGACTCCAATGAAACTTCTTGCGATTTATATGTGTTTAATAAGTTATCCACAGCATTCATTAATTCGATTGTGCTTTTGCAAGGTGTCAAAATATTGCACGTTTCCGATTTGTAGTCGATGAACGAGTCATCAGTGAGTTCGTTTTCCAAGAAAATTCGCATACATGCTCCACAGCATTTTTCCCCTTTGTTACTCATTGTTCGTAACACAGTCCCTTCCAGAATGCTGGCTACATATGCCGAATAGTGCTGTTTTAAGGAGTCTTCATTACTCTCCATAAGATGAGGATCTTCATAATCGATTTGATTTTCGATATCATAGTTAGACAAACAATCCAGCTCAGCCTTATTTCTGCTTATTGAATTGTCCTTACTTCTTGCTGGAACGTAGAGCACTTTCGTTATATCATTCGAACAGTTAGCGCCTCTTCCAGACACTACCTCATTGTGCAACAGCAGTTTTCTGTAGGCACCCATAAACTGTTGAGGAGTCGGATTATCGTTGCAACCTGCGAAGTAAAATATTTCAATATTTTTCACGACAATAACACTATGAAACAGAGATAAAAAACCCACGAAGGAAGAGAGTCATTTCCATGCTTTTCAAAAGAAGTAAATGTTGTATGGGATTAATGGAGGTTCCGATTGGCATGAAAATTGTTGAAGTTTAATTTTTTAGTGAAAAAAAAAGATTCTGAAAGTTTCATGGTGGTTGTAATGTCACAAGTCTGTATATCAATAACAGGATATGAAGGAAACGCATTGGCACCACAATAGTCGTATCTCGAAAACTTCTAGAACAAAACTAATGCCAGATTCAGATTCAGATTCAGTGCCACCAAAAACCGTGGAAAAAAGTTCTGTCTTCTGAGGGGATTTTTTTTCGAAACCAATAAAAAATGATGAAAATACCTCCCATTCGCCGTATACATCCAAAAAACGATTCAATGTGATCCTGAGATACGTCGAAAGTATATAATTCATTTATTCCACTCGGTTTGACAAAATCGTTGTACAGCCCCAAAAAACAAGTCATGTTATGATAAAAGCCAAAATATGGCGTGAATGATTTTGATTTTAATATGAGTATTTTTTGATCATCTTCAATGATTTGTAGTCCATTGATGTATTTCCTCGCATATTCAAAGTAAGTCATAATTCGGCCAATGGTTGTTTCGGAAATTGGCTGTTTATATTTGTCATTGATGTGATTTCTTTTGGTGTTCATTATGTCGAACATATTATTCCCGAATCTTAGGTATTCCACGGTGCCTTCACTGTTTCGAAAATTCTCTAATTTCTCCACTGTATTCAGGTATTCGATAGATGCAGCAGAGCTGTCGCTTAAAGTTTGTGCCGCTAGACGGACATTCATTTTATTGCTTTCATATTCAAGATGTTTTTTTGTTAACTTGTTTCCGAAATTGATGTTTTCAGAAGTTTGGAGAGTCACTAAACGCTCCAAAAATAACCATTTTATCTCTTTATTTTCGCCATCGTATATTATATCTTTGTTACCAAGGCAGTTTCTGGCCAATTTAATCATGTGCGGAGGATCCAGAAAACAGTAAACCACTCTATTTTCGCTGAACGGATTCTTGAAATATGGCATATCTCTATCATAATTCACACCCAATATTTTTGCCATAGCAATGTTCACTTTATGGCCATCATTCGTTATTGAGCTCACAACAACTCCAACACTATTCAACTTGAGCATGGCTTCATGAACAATTGCAGCCCTTTCCGCAGCACATAAACTTTGAATCAGGAAATATCCGATCGGAATCTTAAACTCTTCCCCAATGCCGCTCACCATCAAAACATAAGCTTGTTTAGCTAACGGTGAGCATATGTCATGATTATCTTCTTTTCCTGCATTGATATGTCCGAGGAATTTCCCTTCTGCAGAACTCCATTGTGAGTGTTGCCTAATCGACATATCATCGTGGATCAAGCAAACACTGAGAGGTTCACCATTTTGCTTTGAACGATCTGCTTTTTCTTTTAGGACACTAAAGGCGCTTTCGGTAAATCCAGGTGAACAGTCTATCGCCGAATACCAATTCCGGATGGTTCTGATGTGTGGTAAATTCAAGTTGAAGAAAGAGCGTATGTACTCATAAGCTTTGGGGCTATAAAAATGGATGGTGAAACAGAAAACTCTAACGTTTGCAGAATATTTGAGGGGTTTACATCTTCCAAACATCAAACATTCTAAAACTTCATTTTGTTTGGAATTCTGAAAATAAATGACATAAAATGGTTTTGGATTTTCTATAACATCGAATCGTTTTATCATGTCACCAACAAATATCTTACGTCAAAATTTCGATCGTTAGAACGGTTCTTTTGCTTTGAACTTTCTCTCTCGTAAAAAGAAACTAATGTCCGGAGTCTTTTGTTCTCATCTGATTTCTCTTTTAACGCAATTGCCATTCTGGACAGTTTAGCTTTCAAAGACCCTTCCATTTTTTCCATTTGGCTCACTTTATCCTTCAATCGATACAGTTCAACGCTCTGATCCACCAAATTTTTATACTGAGTTTTTGATATGACTTTGGTATCTCTAGAATGGAAAAAATTATTATTAAACGCTTATAAATAGTTCTCAGGGCATTACTTACCCATCAAGCATAAATAATGTCTGTGATGCAGTTTCGTCAGATAAATGATAATTGTTTGTATGCGAGGTATTTTCTTCAATAAAAATATCAGGATTTGGAATAAGTTCGACATCACTTACGTGACTGGCATCCACACTAAAATATTTTACAAGAATTGCGATGAATTGTATTCAATATTTGAAAATTATCAGTAATGTTGTAATGCATTCTTATCAATTATTATATCTACCTATCATTAGTGGGTGAGTTGTTTGAGTATGTTTCATTCGAGTTTTCATCAGTATTTGAGATATTTTCGATCAGTGATTCGGAATCCGAAGCTTTGTCCTTTGAACCGGAATTGGGTGATTCATTATCAATAATACTTGCACCAATGCAATCATTGTCATCATTAGTGAAAATTGAAGGCACTCTGTTGTCTAAAATATACTTTCTTTTTCCGCGAATATCAATGTCGTCTGGCGAAAAATGTAATTCACACAAAAAATAAGTTTGAACAATGTAGTCAAACGGCTGAACCCTCTCAATTGCTTCAATCCATTTGTCTCTAGCTGGTTGTTTTAGTGGTACACTGCAAATTTTTCATACGCTTAGGCAAAACATATTTGTATATTCATTTAAAATGTCATACCTAAAAAATGAGATTTGGCCACCTTTAGAATACTTTGAATTGCACTTGTTTATTTTGCAATTTGGCATCGTTCAGAAATATTGATCGATATGGATATTTGAATGCTATAATATTTTAGAAAAAATAGCTCAATTCAATTTATTTCAGCCGTTCTTAACCGATTCAAATATGATGTTTGTAGTAGTTTGCACTTTTAACGAATTTTTTTATGAGTTGCTATAACAAGCAGTCAAAAGCAATATTTGAAAGCTGTTGTGCCCGGTTGTGCCGTTTCTGCAGGATCATGACAGCGCGCCAATTGAACTGTCATTTTATTTCAAAACGGTTCGGAACATTTTATACAATTTCAATCGAGAAAACTCGGCGACATAATTACAACAAAAGATCAATAAAACGCAATCGACCGCAATAAACATATAATTTATTTGAAGTTTCATAAGAAAATATGTGAAAAATGGCTCAGTCTTATCGATTCTAGTCGTTCTGAACAGATTCCAATATTGCTGTTCACAATATCAACAAGTTTAGCTATGAGAAGCAGCACTTGGATTGTTCATGTATTTGGTTTCCCATTGTAAAGTTCTGAAAATTTGATTTATATTCCCTTTTCTAACGTTTCCCAGACAGAATAGATTTATTAGGATGAAGTTACTATGACGTGCTAAAAATGGCACGACCA